AAATGTGAAGTGTTGCACATCAACATTTAGTTTACTCCCTGTGGAGCTTCCTCATTCATGCGCTGGTAAATGACCAAGCAGTTGGCTTGTACCTGGGGAAAGCTGCCTTTTGTTTTTTTTAAATGGGTGTCATTTTTTTATGGCACAGTTTTAAATAATGAATGCAGGCTTCAGGAACCTTACTGCTTTGCTGGTTGTCCGTTAGTACAGGGCATGCTCAGATCATTGGTACTTAAAAGAGGATGCCCCATAGTACAAGCGCATCCAGTTGGAGGTCATCTTTATGAAATACGGTCTTAAGCTCTTGGTGCTTCAAAACACGCTAGCACGTTGTTACCTTTTGAAAGCACTTTGAGACCCACAGAATAGAAGCATCAAGGCAGATCTCCAGCACGGTTACACTGTGAAGCAGAAATCACAGATCTCCTGGGACTCTTGTGCTCCTTGCAAGTGCTCTCTCCCTTCCTCACTCCTGCTCCTCCCACCCTTTTCAGGCTCTTTTCCACTGCTGCTGGGTCAGACCCTCATCGCCTCTGGGAAACTGCTTTCCTGGGTGTTCTCCTTTTCAGTAGCAATGACAGCAGCAGGTGACACAGAGCTGTCCCCCAGGTTGCCCTTCTCAGTCAACTCTTGTTCTGGTTTAGGTCAGAGGTTTGCCTTTTCTTATCTTTTTTTTTTTTTTTTCCTTTTCCTGCAAAGGAAAAACAAGTTCAATAGCACTTTTTGATCTTTCTATTCTTATCTTTTTTTTTTTTCCTTTTCCTGCAAAGGAAAAACAAGTTCAATAGCACTTTTTGATCTTTCTAAAAGGCCCGTTTACCTTTAGCTTGCAGAGGAGACGTTTCCTTCATGTTGTATCAAAGAGAGTTTTTCTGCTGGAGAATGAAATGCCCAATAAATCTGTCCTCGAGCACCACCTGATGGGGAAAGTCATGTATTGACCGGGGACATGCGTTTCACTTTTTCAGGAAACCACATCTTCAGCAGTGACTGGGAAACTCGCCAAATCCACAGACAATTTTTTTGTTTCCAGATCCCCGGTACGCTCTGTAGTATTGATATTTTACTGCCTTGGTGAGGAAGCGCAATGCCTAGTTGTCCAGGTTTAGGGACAGTGGGAAAATATATATGTTACACTCTGAATTAGGGTTTTCTGAGAATTTCTTTCCCTCTTCAGCTGCTGAGAGGCCTACAAATTGAAAGTAAACAGGATAAGAAATCAGGTATAGCAAGGGCTAGAGAGTAGATAGACATCCAGTTATCTGTTTTAAGCAGATATTTGAAAATGAGAATAATTTGCCATAAGAGGCAAAATTTTAAGGGCTCTCCTACTTGGTACTAAAGTATAATGCAAGCTCCACTGAAACCACAGGTGTTTGACAAAAGAAAACCATACTGCATAACAATTTAGAAACTTGAAAATATCCTTCTCCACTGAAGCCACATAGAAATCACATGGAGAAACAAAGTTCAAAATTTGGCCAAAATAACATGCATGCTGTTACAGAGTATCTTGGCGTCTCTGGGAGCAAACACACTGCACCCTGCACCACCTTTTTCAAGAGATGCCAAATCCACCAATTCCAGACACCAGCAACACTTGAAGGCTGACGCTGCAATAAATGCTTCAGCTGGTCACCATTTCCAAAATTCTCTTGAGTTCTGCCAACATCCCCCAGCTCCTGAAGAAAAGAGGAAGGATTTTGAAATTGGCTGGAGGAATGCTTTTTGTACTACAACAGCTCTGAGCCTGTAAAAATACGCTTCTGAATATGCTTAAAACATCTGCAATACCCAGCCCCAGCCAGGCCAACCAGAGATTGGAGGTGAGGTCTGGAAAACCTGATGGAGGGGGTATCAAGTCCAAGCATGAGAAGGAGGAACTGCTTTAGGACAGAGAGGTCGTACACTGCCCGGATTCAGATGCTATTTAAATCCCGGAGAGATAGGAGGACTAACAGTCCTTTTTTTAATCCCTTATTTTAGTAGATCATGATATAACTTGCACTTTCTAGATAAACGTGCAGCTGTGCTTGACACTGTCAGTTGTGTGAACAACCATGAGAAAGATGTCTTACAACTATCAAGTCAAAGAATTTCATCTCCCTCTATTTATTAGACAGCCAGCTAAATGGGGAGCTACTTATAAAAAAAAACCCCAAAACCACGTGGCAGCTTAATTCTCCTCTGAATAGTTGAAGGAACCTTAGCATTTGGGAGTTAATCAAAGTTGGGGCAGGAGATTGTCCCTCTTGGATACTGTGCTGAGCCACTTGAGAATCTTACCCATCAGAAGAATTCTTCTTGCAGGTGGTGGACAGATCTTCTAATAGGACAACACGATGGGAGATTGGGTTAGCATCATTCCTCTCCCAAGTTGGCAAACACTGATGCGGTTCCCACACAGCACTGACATGCTTTGGAAGCCTTTTTATCCTGTGAGATTTGACAGAATATGAGGGACTAAGATTGCAGAAGGGAAAGCAATAGTTACACTGGCTGCTTTGGTGAGTTTCACTGGTTCATGATCTAAAACGTGCTGGGGTTTAAATCTGTCAGTTAACAACTGCACCCTAATTGCCACAGGTTTTGTTTCAAAAAGAGATTTTTTTGCCACAAAAAGGAAAAGGCATTTTAAATACCCCAGTTCATTTATTTTTCATATCTAAGACCTTCTATTTATTACATATTTGACAGAATGGAAGAGCAGTTCCTATTGTGTAGCACATCTCAAAAATAGTTCTTTGATGCTAATTTAGGATTTAAAATAACTAGAAATTTGGCTTCCTTTCTCTTTGTAAGTTAACAGATATTTTTCAAGACTTCCCTTTAAAACAAGCTCTACAAAACTCTTCATTTTTATGAGAAAGACTAAGCTCCACTCACAATCATTTGATTCTCAAAGTTCAGGCTCCAATATGCTCCCTTAGAAGATTCATGATATTTGTGAATGAGTTTTCAAAATTATAGCAATAACAGCACAGTCAAGTCTTGGGTTTTCAAATCCCAAAGCGCCAAGCTATAAAGCATCACTTACCCGGGGTATTACACAGCACCCATAACCAAATGGGGGCTGGCAGCACCTGAACAGACCCACAGAGCTTCCCATCAGCTAGAACGTGATGGCATTGCAGAGTGCTTGAAGTAATGAGCAAGCCAGTTAGTAAGCAACGCTTGTCCCATTTTGTTGCTGCATTATCTGCTCAATAATTAACCTGTTCTCAGAAAATGAGAATCGTACTGACCTCTATGATGGTGCTGCAATGAGTAAATTCAGTGAAAAGAAAAGAGGACAAGAAACTCAAATCTGCAGAACTGGTATGTTTTATAAAGGATCTCTTCAAATGTATGCAGCATACATCAACATGGAATAAATCTTACATTTGCTTCATTATTTAAAAGCAACAAAATCAGTACATATATGCTACCAGCTGTTTTACAGAAATAAATTACTATATTGTATACACAGCATCTTCAACATCAGCTGATCATAAAGGTCAGAAAAGTAGTCACTGTTAAAAAAGTGAGACTTTCAAAAGGTAAAAAGCAAAAAAAAAACCCCAAAACCCAACCCTGCCTACAAGCCCAAGAAAACCAACCCAAAACTAAAGTAACAGCAAGCAAGAGAAAAATCTTAATTTATAGTGATTTGCAGGTAGAAACTTTCTCTTTAGTCCATACTCAGATCTCTTGTTTTGTTACAGTCTTCAGATACCACCAGTGGATTCAAGAAACTGCCGAGTAATTCAGTAAAGCCACTAGACTGAAGCCAAAAATGGCTGCAACTGCTCCTCCCACAACTTAAAAGGGGGAGTCACAGCTCCTCATCTCCAGGGATGTCATTTATTCATCAGTCTCTGAACTTGCATGATTATGGCAACTAAGAGACAACGCCAGGCATCCAAACGTGGTCTCCAGGCACTAGGAACAGTAGCTTTAAGCACTCCATCTCAAAACTGCTAAGTTCTCCATTTTCTTCTTTTTCATTCACTGTCAAGCCATGTCTTGGTTGAATCCTTGGCTCCTGTGTCTTTTATGTGAAAAGTATGTAGACTCAAATGATCATTTTAAGGAACAGCTTGAAAAAAAAAAAAAAACCTCTGCACTTCATGGTGACCACCTCTGTTTTGTGCCCTAGTTTCAGCAGAGGAAGAGGGGAAAAAAACACAGCGACAAAGTTATAGACATGGAATGTCAATTCATTTTATTTCTATCCCTTAAAAAAAAGAAAAAAAAAAAAAGAGGGGAGCAACTTTTCTGTAACTGAGGCTTTACAAAGAAGAAACATTTCTGCAGCATTTCAGAAATCATTTTGGCCTACAAGTAAAAACTTTTCTTCTGTAACATCAGTTGCAGCATGACCCTAAGACCACAGCCTTCCACAGATTTCTCAATTCGATTATTTAATTTCATTTTTATTTAGTGTATATGGAGAACTATTTTTCAAAATAAAACAAAAATATCTGCTGATTGTGGAAAGCACTTTTTTCAGTGATGTATAACAGAAACAGTGAAGTTTTGAAGTTTTTATAAGCAGAAAAGCAATATTCAGGCAGCTGTATATGTTAGTATAAACTGAATTTTATGGTGTTTACAGAATTCAGCTTTCATCAGTGCAGCAACTTAGAAGGGGAAATGTTATGTTACCTCATATAACCAACAACTATAGTAAAAACTACTAAATCTTTCATATATATTAATTTTCAAGGTTTTTTTTCCTACTCTTTTCCTTTACCCCTTGCTGTAGCTGTAAAACAGAAGTCCCTGACCTGCAGAAGGGTGGTTTTATGTAAAAAAAAAAAAAAAAAAAAAATTTAAAAGATGGAAAGAAAGAAAATAGGAAATTTAGGGCCAGAATGTTTTGAGGCATCTACCAAGCAAGACAAGAGGAGATGACACTTGAAAATGCCTCAGGTTCCTAGGGAGAAATGAAACACAGATTATTACAATAAGGAACTCTGAGGATATGTACTGAAATCATAGCAGTAATAAGACACACACTCATTATGTCAATATATAAAATTAAAACAACTCAGAATTCTATACATGTTCCCATAGTGCTGCCACTGGAATCACTGAGGTTTCAACAAGGCTTTAAATGATAGCAGGCACTGGAAAAGGTAAAGAATAAAATAAAATTAAAAAGGCAAAACACCATCTATGACTCTCCTGAAACAGCAATGCTATTTGCATGGATGTGTTCAAGGAGATAACTGAATTGGTTTTAATCAAAAAATCCCCCCAACAATTATACATAGTTGACTTTGTACTTTCATCAAGTAATACTAGGAAAAGCATATGGAACGTTAGCAGTACAAAATACATTTTTCATGTTTCAAATGAAATGCAAACAGTGGTGACTGGCAAGTAATATGAGCTTGAACAGTAAATAGCACAGGAGAGTGCTACAACTCTCAGTATAGCCCTGAGAGTAACCTCTCTTTAGTTAAGCAGTGCAGACAAATGAAGACTAAAATACCAACAAATAAACAGTCTTTCTTGTCACTGAAATGTCACTTATGCCTCCGGAGATGAGAGAGAATGCATTAATCCAGATCCATGAGGTACTGCTAGTTGCTCCAGCTCACCTTTAACAGTCATTCAAAAGAATTAAGAAGCAAATTTATTGTTAAAATGATGGAAAAATTGCACAGGAAACATTAACAAATAATTTATGACAAAGTTGCTCAGTAGAAGTTACTACTAAACAGAAACCACCAGTTCAAGTTTCAATAAAGCTTACATTCAGTGTCAGTTTCAGTCTGAATGATGCCATATTATTCTAAAATTGTCCATTTTAGGCCTTCTAATACATGAAGTTAGCATATACCCAATTTTGTTACCTGGGAAAGACCAGGAATCAGCAGGGGTTGGATGGCTACCCCAAGGTGCCTAATCATGCTGTGCAGCAAGTTTTGTAGAGAAAGTATGCTTAACAAAATCACATAAGCAAACACCCTGTAATTAAGCTACCGTCACAGCAGACAAATGGCAGCAGACCACAGCATAAGAAGTTAAGGCTAATGAGCTACATTGCAAATTCTCCTTCTGATTAAACAATAAAAATTCACCTCTGATTAAATAAGAAGAAACAACTTCCGACTTTTAACAATCTATCAATCTAAACACTGTTTCAAATGTGAGCTACAAGCAGGATTTGTGTATTTCATGTAATGCTTTTTTTCCCCTCCAAAAAGTTTAAAAATTCCTAAAAAAATCCCAGCCAGTACAATACAGCAACATCTGTCCCTCTCTCAAGTGTTCTAGTGGTACCAGTTAGAGTAACATTTGTCTAGTGTTAACATCCCTGCAGCAGAAATATTTATATGTACTTGCCTCTACATGAACATAATGTGCCCTCTTAAAAGATCCTGTTACTACTGTACAAGTCTGGCAGGTGTAAGCATCACCCCAGGTTGATTCACTTTGCCTCTCCTGCAAGATATCTCTATGCAATCCAACTTTGCAGCTATTGATTTTTTAATTTAACGTTTCCATGGCTACAGTATTTTTGTTTGTTCGCGTTCATTATCAGAATAGCTACTAAAGCTAGTCCAACCCCTAGACTTGGAGGGCCACAAGGACTGAACTCCTGAGCAATTCCAGAAAGGAGCGGGGCAACTATACGTCCCACTGATGTCACAGACTGTCCAACACCTAGGAGCGTACCGCTGGCCTCATTCCCACCAATGGTCAATTCAAGATCAATGATACAAGTACGACCTATAGTAGTTGAAAAGGCTAAGAATGTGGAAGACAAAATGACCATCCATATGCTCAGCGCTGACGCATACAGGAGAATCAACGTGCAGGTAAGAGTGCTGGAGTGCAACAAAATTCTGTAAGTGTTGTGCTGATAGAGTCTTGTTATTGGTCCGAGCAGACAACCAGCCAGGACTCCTAGTGCACTGCTATAGCTCATTAGGTATCCAGCAAACAAGGGTTTCACCCCAAATCGCTCCTCCAAGGCCAGACTAAAATTACTATAGTACAGCAGTATAGCAACAGACATCAGCAACCGCACTAAAAATATATCCCACAGATCAGAGCACGCAATTCCTTTAATCCTCTTCAGCACCGTTGCAACTTGGATCCACGGAGACTGGAAAAGACTATCCCTTGCCATAGCTCCATTACTTGCTGATTTCAAGTGCAGGTCACAATTTGCTTTTGCTGAGAAACTGTCTGTTCCTTTGTTGCCTCGTTGATGTTCCCTATTGCCAGTGTTTTCTTCACTCCAGGGTAACATCCAGACAAGACCTATGTAGACCAAGAAATTAGTTGATTTCATTCAATTGCATTAGCTTTACATGGAAGACATTAGTCTGATTGTAAGTTTACTTAGTGTAAGGATCAAAATTCAAAAAAGGACTTTGACAATCATTTAACTTTAAAAAATTATGAAGATTAAGTCTAGTGTTATTCACAGTATCAGTTCAATTCTAGATGTGGTGAAAGCAAGAAGGAAAACACTGAGGTGACACATTCGCAACATATAAACAAATCTAAAAGCTAAAGCCAAAATTCTGATTTCTAGTCTTCAGCTTTGGGCATATTAAAAATTCCCATTCCCGTGTCTGAATATAAAAGTCATATATACAATACAAAGGAGAAGCATCTGGACGTTACCCGTTTCAAAATTCCCGCCCTTCCACATAGGTTCACGTTCAAAGGGTAGTGTCAGTATACAGAACATGTATGCCACAGATGATAAACGCACCATGAATTCAAGGTATTACAAATGGCATAAAAACACTAAAGTGAGGAATGAAGGGAACCAAGATGCAAAATGTGACATACAACTTACCAGCATTCAGAAGGAAGATACAGGCACAGATGAAGGACGTTTGATAAAAGCCATCTTCCAACTCTGTAAGGTAGCCACCAACAACAGGTCCCAGAATGAAGCCCACACTAGAGGCTGCATTGAAGCGTCCCATTACTAAAGGGCGGTCTCTCTCAGAAACCAAGTCAGAAAGCAGGGCTTTAGAGATGGAGAGTGTGTGTTTGAAAATACCTGCAACATAATATAAACAAAATAAACATATATTGCTCAGTCCAAAAGATTGAAAATGACAGAAGCTATCTGAAATATCAATGGTCAAAACCTGTATGACTGATATTTCTAAGATTCCATTAACCGCAAATTTTTCAATGCTAGCTTCATGCACCACGTTGGGCCATGACCATCATCCTGGCTGTTCAAGGATGTGGACTTGGGAATCAAAATTATTCAGGCATCTGTGTCGAAGGAGTGCTCCTGCAGCCCTGCTGAAAGAAGAAGTAACTAAGCTGAGTGCTGAAGCACACTAGGAATAAGAAAGCTGCTAAAATAGGAACTTGCGGGTGAGTAACGGTTAAGGAGGAATGGCTTGACTGTTTATGAACATAGCTCTGTACCAAGTTTGCTGAGTATGAAGATTTGCAGGATTGTAACACACCAAATTCATACGGGAAACTGGTGGGTGGCAAAAGAAAAGCACAGAAGGGTAAGCATACTGCAGGAATACTAATAACGCAATTTCTTATGTTCCTTCCCGCTGACCAGGGCAATGCTGTCACAGTCAAAGTGCTGTTAGCATTGAAAAGGATTACCTCTACTGAGTAGTCAAATATCAACCAAATAATTCATTAGCAAATAGTCTTTCAATTAAGAAACAGTATAAACAGTTCCTAAATCAAAACTATGGGCCATAAAAGTGCCCTTTAGTAGATATGTTCATAGTAATAGCAATGCTTATTATATCAGAATATATGCAATAGGTGTTCAGCTATTTTAAGAACTCTGATACAAACCCTGGCACAAACTTAGCTTCAGTGCTGCAAACATACATGCTTTTGCACAACAGAAATATTCTGTTGAAGCAGTGACCTAAAATTTCAGCCACATTTTGTAGTATCACTTTGAGGTGTATTTTCAGCGTGAGAAAAACACTAATGCACATATCATTCCATTCTCCATTGCAAGTGCAGGCCAAGATTTCCAGTAGTGACATGGTAGATTGTATACCTGTTATGACTAACCTTACAATAGCCTCTTTCAAGGAATTGCTGCACTCCTGTTCTCATAAAATTCAGCCATTCGAGGTGGTGTAAAAGTTGTGACAGTTGTCGAGTATCCACTTCAAATTATTTTCAGAAAAAAGTCACATGAATGTTTGATTTGTAGAGATTTTTCCATTACTAAGGTTCAGCTGGTGCTGCTGGGTGATGATGCTATGCAGCCATCCACATACCATGATATCTTTAGTAGTCATTCTCAAGCTGAGAGTACAGGGAATTTAAACTGCAAAATGCCAAGTGTTTACTCACCTACAGGGACTCTAGAAATGGCAAACAGGAACACGGTGGTGGATGTTCCAAGAAGGAAGTAACCCAGCGCACTGAGAAGAATACAAGCAAGCAGGGAATACCGTCTTCCTACTATATCACTCCAGCAGCCCTTTCACAAAGCAAGAAATTAAGATTAGCTTTTTATAACATTTAACTACGTACAGTGAACAATCAGTACTTCTAAATTAAATTGAGAAAAGAGATCAAAGGACTGTCAGTGAAAGCTTAATAAGCTTATTACACAACATTCCTAAGTGCTCAAAATCTGGAAGTCATGAACAGAGTTCTGCCCTGCCGGCAGTGCACCTGCTGAAACTGATTCTATTTAATGTCACGCACACAGCTTTTTTAAAAATAACTTCTCTCTTTTAAAAATAAATTCCTGAAACAAACACCATGAAATATTAGTAGTAGGGGCCCTCTGAAAATGTTATCACAACCAACCAGAAATATTTGTTTGCATCAATGGTCGCTATGTACTAGACACTTTTTGAGCATCCTAAAAGGAATGACCTTAGCTATACGGAGTTTGTCATCTAAGTGCAGACAAGGAGGAAGTAGTTATGAGAAGGGCAAACAGTAAACTCGCATGTAGCATGTTTATAAATCAGCTTGATTCCAAGCAGGAAGTAGGTTTTTAAGAAGGTAGGCAATGGTCTTGCAGTTCAAAGAAAATGCCACAGGATTATAGAAGCAAATTATCCCAGGTGCCCTGCATAATAACCCTGAAACAGTTTTTTCATGAGACGCTCAAAATCTGCTCTCTTGAAAGCTAGGAGGTACCAGGGTAATATTAAAGGTGCTCCCAGCTAACATAGGGATCTAAGGTATTGATAGGTAAAGCATGCATTCAAGAGGTTTAGTCTTTGCACTCTTGCTTAGATTAGGATGTTAAAAATCAAAAGCTAACAGAAAACAAAACCAAACAAAGCTCAAAGACGTAATGCATGAATTTAGGCCATATGGCAAATTACAAGGCACTGCTCATTAAGCAGGGAAAGCAAACTCTAGATAACAGGTTTATGAAGCGCTGACTGGTGAGACTGCCTTTTGGACAGGCTACTGCATTAAAGGGAACTGCTTTACTAGCAGCGACACTGAAGAGAACCCTGTGTGACTGCGACGTGCTCAGAAATGTATCTGAGCTCAAATGTGGATTGTAGTTTTTGTCTAAAGACTATACTCTGTTTAGTTCTGAAAAATCTGGCAATTCCCTATAGAAGAAACAAACATTTCCCACACAAACTAAAAACTGGATCCTCCAACAAAAAATGCTTATATGAACACTATAAAAATTTTCAAAATGTCAAGAAACACTATTATTAGCCTCATCCTTTTTACTCCTAAAATCCATAGAAATACCAACATAGTCAGGAATGTAGTGTTAGAACTCACCACAAATGTGCTGGAAAATAGTTGCATTATACCATAGAGAGATCCTAAAATAAACAAGTAAAATACCAATGTTAAAATTTAAACTTTTTTTTTTTAAAAATGAAAACTGCACAAAATTTTAAATGAGGAAGCATGAGAGAAATTCTGGGAATAATTTACTAGAAGAATAGGAAGAGGGAGCAGGACAAACCAAGTGTGTAGTTTAGCACATAACCAAGGAAACAGTTTCAGGAATGACAAAAAAAGAAAACCAAATGCTGAAAACTTGTAAAACTATTTAGTGTAGAAGGATGTTGCTTTGTATGGTGTATTAAACAAAATAGACCTTGGCATTTATAATTGTTTTCTCAGAATCAGGAGAGAATTTCATTACTGGGAGGCACTAATTACTTTCCACTTGGCACTTCAACCTATTACAAGGCACCACAGAAGCCCTGAAAAAACCACAGACCCTACTCTTTCATTTTGGAGGCTAAGAGTTTAGCAGCAGTTAGTGACGGAAGAGAAGAAGCAATGAGAAGCAGAGAAAAACATCTGCCAGCCTCTTTCATTTATAAGGAATCACCTCAAACCCCAGTTTCTTTTAAAGTTAAAAATCAAAGCAGACTGTTGAAATGAAAATGTATTTTTGATGAATTACTGCTTAAAGTAATACTCTGACAACTCAGAGCAGAACCAGAATTATTTCATGAAAAGTGCTAAATCTCACCCAAAATAAAAAAGCAAGGTAATAAAAAACTGAATAACAGAGCCCATGTCAACCACACATAGCTATAAAGAATATCGTATTTTTATCATTACAAACCATAAACAATACCTTAAGATATAAATAAGAACTTTAGAACCACACAACTTCATCTTACTGCTTCGTTTTTTAAGATAAAATTTCAAACCTTCAGAGAATTTACATGTAAGCACTCCTTGAAGATGATAAATATTTTGCCAAAAGGGAGCTGCAAGGAATTTAATCAAACTGGGAGCACTCATAGGCATTGGAAAGCTCAGGAGAACTAGCTGCAGAAGTACTGTTTGCAACATCTATAAATAACAATAAAACTAAAAGCAATGCCTCTGTCTCTCAAAGTTGCTAAACTGTAAATTCTTGGATGCTGAAAAGCATCTGTACAAGTGTTACTGCAAGACTTCCTTGTTCTTTCCAAGAATGCTCTTTCACAAGCACCTGCTTTGGGCTACTGTCAGCATGCAAGGTTGGACAGGTCTCACAGTATGGCTGCCTGTACAGTTTTATTTGGAAATTGGCCTTACTTTTTATTATGCTACTAGCAAGGAAGAGTTATGTTACAGCGTTCAATGTGCAGTAAGACATAATCCAGTTCACATTATCTTATTCTTTGGTAAATCAATCAAGTACTCCAACTCACCTATTATTCCAGCAACTGTATGACTTGCTCCTAGAGATTTGATATGAAGGTTCATTAAAGGTACAACCATGCTTACACCAAATAAATCCTGAAAAGAAGGCAGAAAAAGTTTTAGTAACTGATCATAACAAAGATGATGGCAACCTGGCTTAGTCAATATTTTTAAACATTTTAAGTTATTTCCATATTGATACAAGATTAACATGGCCAGTGTGGTATGTTGTAACCTCTACAATGCATCCTGTATGTACGAAATTACAAAAACACATAAACTGAAAAGATAGAGGATTGCCTCACAGAGGAATTAAAACTTTGAAAACAGCAATTCTCTTTACCCCTCCAGATACAATCATTCTGCATATATTTATTTAAACGTTTAGTATTCCTTTAATATCTATTAAACTTTATCTGTTTAATAAGAAAAGTACTTGGTACTATTATTTTAAATGTAAAGTAGTCTGTAATTTCAATCACCTGAAAATACTTTTACTTGTGTAAAGAGAGTGTATTTGGAAAATTTACAGTATTTTACCTCTCAACCACGATGGGGAAGAAGCTATGGTAGATCTAAACCTACCTACAGACTGCCTTTCTGTATAACTTACAAAATGTAGTGAAAAGACAAAAACATGAAAAAAAGAAAAAGAAAGAAAAAAGCAAATCATAAGTGAAGAACTTTTTGTAAGAGGAGGGCAAAGGACACTGCCTATCCTGAGCAGTACAAGAATCTCCTACTCATTCCTTTTGATTTTTTATCTTTTGTTAAGCTAACTACAGTGACCCCAGTAGTTCTTTCACTGTATGCTCCTGGCACAGCATACAGTGTCCTATACCAGAGCGGAACCTTACAGAAGAGATCTATTGGAACAAGACCACCTTTTATCAGTGACTGCATGAGCTGAACAAGACTAGCCATTCATAGTATGCCCAAGCCAGAATAACTGAATCAATGCATAAGAAAATTCTCACAGTCTGTCATTAAGTATCTTTTGATGGTTGAAGTTGAGACTTGGCAAGGTTAGAACCATTATTAAAGATATTAGCATGAGCAAAGAGACCACACAACTTATGAACATATTCAATAACACAATCTTAGGGCTCAATAAGCTATTCCAAGCACTCGCATGCACAATCATGGAATAACAGAATAAGCCACTTGGAAGGGACCTCAGGAGGTCTCCAGTCCAGTTTTCTGCCCACGGCAGGGCCAGCTCTGAGGTCAGACCTAGTAGCTCAAGGCTCTATGCAGTCAGGTCTTGAACACCTCCAAGGATGAAGGCTGCACAGCCTCTCTGGCAACCTGTCCTGCTGCTTGACTGTCTTCATGGTGTCAAAGGTTTTCCTTAAATTGAAACAAGAGGTTCTGACTGGAAATAAGACCTTCTCTCTCTCTTGCCCAGCACTGCACTCTGGAGTCTGGTTCCAGCTTCCCGTTAACCTCCTTGCAGGCAATGGAAAGGCAGCTGCAAGGCTCCCCTCAGCCTTTTCTCACAGGGTGTTCCACCCTGCCAACCATCCTGGTGGCCCTCCAGGGAACTCACTCTGACCTAAACATGGTATTTTAGATGCAGCCTCATGAGCGCTGAGCGAAGGAGGACTGCTTGCTTCCCTGTTCACACAGCCCAGGATGCTGCTGGCTGCCTCTCCCCCAGGGCACACTGCTGGCTAATGTTCAGCTTGCTCCCCACCAGGGCCTTACCAGGAAAGCTGCTCCCCAGCCTGTATATATGGAAGAGGTTCTTCCTTCCCCAGTGCAGCACTTGGCAGTAGTCCTTGCGGAGTTTCATTAGGCTCCTGTCAGCTCATCCATCCAGCCTGTCTAGGTCCTCCTAAACTGCACCGCCTACTTAGGTGTCACCTGCAAACCTGATGAGAGGTTCAATGACCTCATTGAGGTCATCGATAGAAACATTAAAAAGGACAAGTCTCAGAATATACCCTGGCAGTACTAGACTTGTCACAGACATGCAGGTAGGGCAAGACCCATTAACCTCTATCCTCTAATGGGTAGTTATTGCTCATTTCACCTATAATTTCTTATGTCAAATGACAACTACGCTGTATTTGCTTGGTTACAGGAAGCTTGCATCACAGGCAACAGCTCTTTATCACGATATTTCACTATACTTCACACCCTCTAAAAGGACACTCACTTCTTGGTTGATTTCAGTGTGTACTCCATGCTCTAGGTGAGCAAGGTATTACAGAGTTGGAAAAACACAGTGTTTAAAAGTGAGCTAAGAAGCAAAGCTTGTCCTAACACACCTTTCCCTGGAATATTTGCTCCAGGACCCAAACCAACCAGATTGTTTCTACTGCCCAACCTAAAGGTAGGTAAGAGAACAGATCTACATTTCACAGTGCAAATTTGTACTTGTTTTGTAGTCGTTTTCCTTTTAATTTTAAATTAATTAAATGACATTTTCCCGAGGTTCATGAATCACTCCAGAATACAAACCTTCTTTAAAGTCTATACGCTATATTCTTTCAGTAAGGGGCTTTTTTCTAGAAGAAGCATGGATTATTTTTTTTTCGGTTTACACCAACCACTGGTATTTCAAGGAAACGAGGAACAGCTCTCTGATAAGCATAAGGCAAGACTTAGCTCTAAGGGCGCTGCGCTATTCCGTTTCATTCACGGGATAAAAATCATACCTTCGTATCAAACTACACGACTGTTTGCACGGATAAAACAATACGGCCGCTGCAAACGGCTATCGCTACAAACGCATCAACTCCAAAAAAAAAAAAGCAGCGAAGTGATGTACCTCAAAACCCAGCAGCTTTATCTGGAGCGTCAGGGGGGAGGCCCGCTACGAGCCGGGACCCGGGGAGGGTAGCGGGGGTGGGGGGTGTCTGCCCGACTTCGGGCTTTGCAGCATCCCCTGACAACCCTGAGGGGACCTCACGGCTCCGGGGCCGTGCCCCCTCCTCTGCCTCCAGCACGGCCCCTCACAAGGGCTGCCCCGGAGCCGTGGGGCCGGGCAGCGGGGTCGTGTGAGGCGGGGAGGATTTCCCTTCTCAGGCACGGCCGCCCGCCTCAGGCCGCTCCGCCAGGGCACTACCGCCGCCGCCGCAGCCCGCCTGCCCGCTTACCAGGAAGCCCACCGCGTAAAGGCACCGCACGAAGCGGCCGGACGCCGCCGTTGATCTCCCCGCTGCTCCGCGGCCTCCATCTTCCTCCTCCTCCTCCTCCATCCGCCCAGCGGCGGGCCGCGCCCCCC